GAAGAGAAAAGGGAGGGAAATGTGAGGGGAAAAGGGTGGGGAATGTGAGGGGAGAAAAGAGCGGGGGAAACGTGAGGGGAGAAAAGGGCGGGAAACGTGAGGGGAGAAAAGGGCGGGAAACGTGAGGGGAGAAAAAGGGCGGGAATCGTGAGGGGAGAAAAGGAGCAGGAAGTGCGAGGGAGAAGAAAGGTAGGAAACTGGGGGGAAATGGAGGCAATGTCCCCCTCAATTCCTCAGGTTCCCCTCCCCGAAATCAAGCACAGACTCTGGGCGTTGCTCAGACACTTTATTTATGACGGGGCTCACGGGGCCTTCGCCGCCCTCACCCTCTTCTTCCTCACCACCACCGGCTTCTGGCTGCGCAAGATGGCGCTGGCCCGGCGCAGAGCGGCCTGGAGGGAACAAAAACGGGGGTTTAGCACCCCAAAAATAACCAGGAACCCTGGGAATGGAGGGGAGCACGCCCAAAATCATCCCTCTGAGCTTCCAGTGGAAGTTTGGGGACCACCCCTCGATTTTGGGGATCCCCCTCAGAGCTCCACGGAAACCCCAAAGAGGTTTTAAAAGTCCCTCCTTTGTTTTTGAGTGGTGTTTTGAACCCAACCCAATTTTGGTGACAATTCCTGCCTCACCTCGTGACGCTCCCAGGGGAACAACCACAAATTTTGGCATCTCCAGTTTTGGGATAATCCCCAAATTTTCAGAGAACCACAAGATTCTCCCTCTTGGCAGCATTCCCGCTCTCCCACGGGTTTCCCAACCTGAATTTCACCATCCTCCCGCGGTTTTTTTTGGGGCTCCTCCTCAGTTTTCCCCCAAATTTTGGGGCTCACCATGCGCAGGTCCCTCCTGTATCTGTTCTTGCTGATCAGGTGCCGCAGGCTCCGCAGGGAGCCCCGGGCGTCGCGCCGGATCCGCACGCGGACGTACGACGTGGCCGGTTTGCGCTGGCCTGCGGGACAAAAAAAAAACCCCAAAAATAAGATTTTTAGGGACAAAACCCTCTGAAAATTTGGGGTTTTTTTTTTATTTTTGGAGAGGGATTCACCCACCTGCGCGTTTCTTGAGGACCACCACGATCCCCTTCCCATCCGGCGCCGGCTCCACGCCCACGGTTTTGCGGTGGATCAATCCGTTGTAGCGGAAAGAATTCCTGGCCTTGAGGTTGTTGGGCTCCTGCAGAGGTTTTATTTTTTTTTTTTTTTGGGAGAGGGGTGATCGTGAGGGGGATTTTTTGGGGGAGATTTTAAAATTTTTAAAATTTCTGGGGAGGGTCTGGACAGGCCGCAAGGATTTGGAAGGGAGCACAAAATGTTTGGGTGGGGGGGGGATAAATGGGATTTTGGGATGGTCTGGGGGCGTCCCTGACAATTTGTAGGGAATTCCCAAAAACCTGGGAAGCGCTCGGGAGGTTTGGGGAAGAAGTTGTGATTTTGGGGTTTTTTTGGGTGTGCTGAAGCTGATTTTGAAGGCTTTTGGACCAATTTTGAGGGCTTTTGGAGCAATTTTGTGGGGGCCAAAGATATGTTCTGGAGATTTGACCCATCCAGGGGTGAAATGCACAACCAGGGGAGTGTCACACCATTCGTCCAGGCCCAAAACCCCCCCGAAATCGCCTTCGGCATCCCCAAAACCCCAAAAAAATCGTCCCCAAAATTCCCCCAAAACCTTCTCAAACCTCCCGAGGGGCTTGGGGTGGGCTCAGAGGATTTGAGGGCGTCCCGAAGTGTTTGGGGGAACCCCAAATATCTGAGGAGGGCACCTGGAACCCCTCTTTGGGCGCTAATGGAGCTTTAGTGAATGCTTAAATCGTCTCTTTGCGGTTTTGGGGGGGGTTAAAAGCCGCATCTCGAGGTTTGAGGGCTCGCTGAGGGTCCCCAACGCCGTTCCCTGCTCCCCCTCCCGCTTTCCCCGCACTGACGGTGCTGTAGGTCTGGTTGTTCCTCTTCAGCAGGAAACTGGAGCAATTCCGCACCACCATCCACTGCAAATGGGCCGACATGGCGCCTGCGGGCACCGGAGAGCCGCCTCAGCGCCCGCCGCCACACCGGGGCCCGTTCCCCGCTCCATCCCGCCTTCCCGCCGCCCTTAGGAACCCTCCCCCGGCATAGCGACCCTTCCCCGGTATCAAAAATCCCCCACGGGCCGCCCCAAAGCGGAGCCCCACGCGGTACCTCCGCTCCCTTCGGCCGCCGGAAACGGAAAGAGCGACGGGAGCCCCGGCAAGCTCCGCCCCCTCGCTGAGCTCCGCCCCCCCTCGGCAATCTCCGCTCGGCTTCGGCAATCTCCGCCTCTCTCTCGGGTATCTCCAGCGACACTCGGATATTTCCGTCAGTGCTCGTCAATCAGAAGTTCCGGGTTCTTTCGGGATTTTCCGTAGCTTTTCGGCAGTGTCCGCCGCCGCCTCGGAGAGGCGTTCGGGTTCTTTCGGCTCCGTGCGGGAGCTTACGGAAAATAGCGGGAAACGTGAGGGGAGAAAAAGGGTGGGAAGCGTGAGGGGAAAACTGTGGGAAAGGTGACGGAAAAAGGCTGGAAAAATGAGCGGAGAAGGGTGGCAAACGTGAGGGGAAAACTGTAGGAAAGGTGAGGGTTAAAAAGCTGGAAAAATTAGGGGGGAAAGGGTGGGAAACGTGAGGGAGAAGAGGGTGGGAAACGTGAGGGGAAAACTGGGAGAGGTGAGGGGAAAACTGGGAAAGCTGAGGGGAAAAAGGCTGGAAAAATGAGGGCAGAACGGTGGGAATCGTGAGGGGAGAAAAAGGGCGGGAAACGTGAGGGGACAAAAAAAGGGCGGGAAACGTGAGGGGACAAAAAAAGGGCGGGAAACGTGAGGGGGCCACACCCGGAGCAGCGCTTGCAGGTGAGGCCGTACCTGAGGGGGGTTTTGGGAGTCCTGGGGGAATTTGGGGGGTCCCCAGGGGGTTTTGGGGGGGGTCTTCCCACAGCAACCGGGTGGTAGTGGTTGCTGTACTGGGTTGTACTGGTTTATACTGGTTTGTACTGGGTTATACTGGCAAAGCGTGGTTGAACGGGGTTGTACTGGTGCAGACTGGGCCACACTGGTTTAAACCACCTTAGATCAAGTTATACGAGGTTATATTTCTTTATACTGGTTTATACTGGTTTGTACTGCTTTATACGGGTTTATACTGGGGCAATGTGGTTAAACGGGGTTGTACTGGTGCAGACTGGGCCACACTGATTTAAACCGCTTTAGATCAAGTTATAGCGAGTTATATTTCTTCATACTGGTTTATACTGGTTTGTACTGGGCCTGTGAGAACAGGATGCCCATCCCCCCCACCGTGGGAACCTGAACACCCCTCCCCCACCTTTCCTGTTGTTTTGGGAGGGGGCAGGAAATGGGGGGGGGAGGGGCGAGGCCGTAAAACTGCCGGGGTGGGGGAGGGGAGGGGGGACAGCACCTGTGGGACCAGGTGAGAGGGGATCCCAAAAATGGGGACCCCCAAAAATGGGAAACCCCAGAAAGGGGAAACCCCGACCTCGTCCTGGGTTTGGGGGAGGTGCAGGTTTTGGGGGGGATTTGGGGTTTTGGGGGGATTTGGGGTCCCCAGTTTGGGGGATTTGGGGTCCCAATTTGAGGGAGGTTGGGGTCCGGATTGGGGGGGGATTGGTGTCCCAAATTTGGGGGGGTTTGGGGTCCTGAATTTGGGGGGGTTTGGGGTCCTGAATTTGGGGCTGTTTGGGAGGGTTTGAGGTCCAGATTTGGGGGGGGTTTGGGATCCCAGTTTGGGGTGTTTGGGGTCCCAGTTTGGGGGATTTGGGGTCCCAGTTTGGGGTCCCAGCTTGGGGATATTTGGGGTCCCAGTTTGGGGGATTTTGGGGTCCCAGTTGGGGGATTTGGGGTCCCAGTTTGGGGGA